TCTTCATCAATTTGATGTAAGCCAGGCAGATTTGGACTTCAGGAATGAATTAGTCATTGAGGAAACGAAGGTGAGCCATGAATACTAGTGAATAATGAACAATGAGTAGCATAGTTCTGAGACTCATTCTATTGTTTTCCCATTAGAAAATAATTTCGTATTGGCTGGATCACGGTGTTTTTGGTTTGCGTATAGATGCCCTGCCATATATTTATGAGGATACTGAATTAAGAGATGAACCGTTATCAGGAGATCCCATACCTGCTACTGACTACTGGTACTTACATCATATCTATACCAAAGATTTGATTGAGAATTATGAACTTGTTCAGGTATGGAGAGATTACTTCGACGAATACAATGCAAAGACCAATGATGGTGTAGAGCGTATCATAATTACCGAGGGATTCGCTGATGTATCTCTGATGTGTTTATACTATAATTATGGTGCTCATGTTCCGTTCAATTTTCTCTTTATTAGAAACGACAGTGTTGCCTTTAATGCCGAAACTCTGTCACCTGCAGGAATCAAGAACAATATTGATCAATGGCTTAACTGCGTGCCTGAAGGTGGAACACCCAACTGGGTCGTAAGTTTGAAATACATTTTTGTGTTGTTATAATTTTAATTTATTACGTAAGAATATCAATTAACAGCTCCTTAATCCGTTACCAGATTGGCAATCACGACAGACCTCGCATGGCCACGCGTTTCGGATCAGAGAAGTTAGACATGTTAAACTTTGTTTTACTTTTGTTACCTGGCGTCATGACGGTTTACAATGGTGACGAGATCGGCATGACGGATACGTATCTAACATGGGAGGAAACAGAAGATCCTCAGGCTTGTACCACTGATCCTGGGCGTTATCAGCCATATTCTAGGGATCCTGCGCGCACGCCTTTCCAATGGGATGATTCTACGTCAGCAGGTGGGTAATCGGTTCTAGGTTCAGGTACATTACTGTCACGTGGAATATACTTCAATGTTATTTCATTTTATCAGGATTCTCTACGAACACCACGGTGTACCTGAAAGTGAACGAGAAATATCGTACACTGAATTTAGCGGCGCAAAAGGCTGCCGATAAGAGTCACTATAAGAACTTCCAGGCTGTCATGAAGCTCAGGAACACGACGGTGGCCAAAGATGGAGCCCTGAAGACACTTGTTATCGGCGAGGATGTCTTCGCCATGTCCAGAGAATTGGATGGTCACGACCCCCTGCTCGTTGTTATTAACTGGTCGAAGTCTCCGGTAACAGTCAGTCTTGATGACTTCAGTAACTTCAGTGAGAAGCTGCAAGTGCTTGCGTCGGATGTTAATAATGATCTCAAAGTTGGGTGAGTGATTAGGAAATCCAAAATGTTGTCATTCCTTTATCGGCTGAACATTGCCTTCATTATATTATTTAATTTTATTCTTCCAGAGACACTGTATCCAGGAGCAGCATTACCTTGCAGGGAAATGCAGCTTTAATAATAACATAGTTCTATGATTATACACGGTGACTTATAAAGTATTTATATCTGTTCAGGAAAATCCAAGTTCCATTAGCTAAAATCTGCATCAGAAAGCACATTGAGCGACTGGAGTTATTACTGAATATTGTGATCGGATTGTAACTTCCTACCTCGATGCAATAAAAAATAGTGTGCCCAACAGAATTCTCTATTATAACTATTGGATCATTGTAAAAAATAACGGTTCAATTTTATTGAAATATGTTTCCAACTATGTGCTATGATTGAAGTTAGTCCATGATGAACAAGCAGAGCTTGCGGACACGGCCTACACTGCCTGATGGATCTGTTCCAGTAGTTCAAATGCGCATTCGGTATTACAGAATATAATCGTTAAGCATTAAAAATCATAGAAAGTTGGAAGAACCAAGAAATTACATTCTATCAGTTGTACCAGAACAGCCTGACATGTATTTCCACAGCTGCTTCTTAACATTAGATTGCTAACTCTAGTTAATTCCTTGCTAGATATGGATTATGTACACGTGTTGAAATATTATTTAGCTGCGCAAATTGTATAAACAGCTGAATGATAAAATAAAAGCAGTACATAAACGATCCAATCGGTATATATAAGAAAACCGTGACCTGCTGAAACTCAACTATTGCAACAATGGTGACATCGGCATCTAGACGCTTGGCTGTCGCCATATTCGCTATCATAGCCGGACTGGTTCTCCAGGTTGACGGTGAGAAGCAATGGTGGCGAACAACAACTATCTACCAGATTTGGCCGCGATCCTTTAAGGACAGCGATGGAGACGGAATTGGCGATTTGAATGGTAAGTAGGACGTACAGAATTAAATTCTAAGCGACGTCACTGTGATGTCAATCAGTCCAGATTTGGCCGCGATCCTTGCCGGACTGGTTCTCCAGGTTCATGCTGAGAAGCAATGGTGGCAAACAACGACTGTCTATCAGATTTGGCCGCGATCCTTTAAGGACAGCGATGGAGACGGAATTGGCGATTTGAATGGTAAGTAGGACGTACGGAATTAAATTCTAAGTGACGTCACTGTGATGTTAATCAGTCTAAACGCCATCAGGTATCACAAGCAAACTGGAACATCTAAACGACATGGGAGTAGAGACAATATGGATATCGCCAATTTTCAAAAGTCCACAAGTCGACACTGGCTACGACGTCTCCGACTACTTAGACATAGACCCAATGTATGGGACTTTGGAGGACTTTGACAATCTAGTAGCTCGCGCCAAGGAACTTGGAATCAAAGTGATTCTGGACTACGTTCCTAACCATACCAGTTCGGAACACGAGTGGTTTAAGTTATCCGAAAACAGTGTCGACCCCTATACTGATTATTACGTGTGGCACGAGGGAGACGCCATCAGGTATCACAAGCAAACTGGAACATCTAAACGACATGGGAATAGAGACACTATGGATATCGCCAATTTTCAAAAGTCCACTAGTCGACAGTGGCTACGACGTCTCCGACTACTTAGCCATAGACCCAATGTATGGGACTTTGGAGGACTTTGACAATCTAGTAGCTCGCGCCAAGGAACTTGGAATCAAAGTGGTTCTGGACTACGTTCCTAACCATACGAGTACGGAACACGAGTGGTTTAAGTTATCCGAAGCCAGTGTCGCCCCTTATACCGATTATTACGTGTGGCACGAGGGAATTCTGGATGCAAACGGTACCAGAAGACCACCAAACAATTGGTTGAGCGTCTTCAACAGCGGAAGTGCTTGGCAATGGAGCGACAAGCGACAGGCTTACTATCTTCATCAATTTGATGTAAGCCAGGCAGATTTGGACTTCAGGAATGAAGTAGTCATTGAGGAAACGAAGGTAAGCCATAGTTACTAGTGAATAATGAATAATCAATAATGTAGTTCCGTAACTCATTCAATTGCTTCCCCACTAGAAAATAATTACATACTGGCTGGATCGCGGTACTGCCGGTTTACGTATAGATGCACCGCCATTTCTGTATGAGGATGCTGAATTAAGAGATCAACCATTATCAGGAAGAAACGTACCTCCTACTGACTATTTCTACCGACTCCCTATCTACACCAAGGATTTGATTGAGGATTATGAACTTGTTCAGATATGGAGAGATCACTTTGATGAATATAATGCAAAGGCCAATGATGGTCTAGAGCGCGTCGTCATTACCGAGGCAGTCGCTAATGTGTCTTTGATGTGTTTATACTATAATTACGGCTCTGATATTCCGTTCAATTTTCTCTTTGTTACAAACAGCGGTATTCCCGTCGATGCCAAAACTTTGTCACCTGCAGAAATCAAGAATAAGATTGATCAATGGCTCAAGTACATGCCTGAAGGTGAAACACCTAACTGGGTCGTAAGTTTGAAATACACTTTTGTGCTGTGATAATTATAATATATTATGTAAAAATGTCAATTAACAGTTCGTTAATCCGTTACCAGCTTGGCACTCATGACAAAAGTCGCGTGGCCACGCGTTTCGGCTCCGAGAAGATAGATATGTTCAACTTCATTTTACTTTTGTTACCTGGCGTCATGACGGTTTACAATGGTGACGAGATCGGCATGACGGATACGTATCTAACATGGGAGGAAACAGCAGATCCTCAGGCCTGCAGCACTGATCCTGAGCGTTATCAAGGATATTCTAGGGATCCTCAGCGCACGCCTTTCCAATGGGATGAGTCTACGTCAGCAGGTGGGTAATCGGTTGTAGGTTCAGTTACATTACTGTCACGTGGAATATACCTCAATGTTATTTTCATTTTATTAGGATTTTCTACGAACACCACGGTGTACTTGAAAGTGAACGAGAATTATCGTACACTGAATTTGGCGGCGCAAAAGGCGGCTGATAAGAGTCACTATAAGAACTTCCAGGCAGTCATGAAGTTCAGGAACACGACAGTGGCCAAAGATGGAGCCCTGAAGACACTTGTTATCGGCGAGGATGTCTTCGCCATGTCCAGAGAATTGGATGGTCACGACCCCCTACTCGTTGTTATTAACTGGTCGAAGTCTCCGGTAACAGTCAGTCTTGATGACTTCAGTAACTTCAGTAAGAAACTGAAAGTGCTTCTGTCGGATGTTAACAGTAATCTCAAAGTTGGGTGAGTGATTAGGAAATTCAAAATGCTGTCACTCCTTTGTCGGCTGAACAATGCCTTCATTAAATTATTTAATTTTATTCTTCCAGAGACACTGTATCCAGGAGCAGCATTACCCTGCAGGGTAATGCAGCTTTAGTATTAACAAACTTCGACATCACCTTTTCGAACTTCTGGAACACGTATCTGATACCACACTTGAAGTCCTTCTTCAACGTGATAGTCAACCATAAATAAGAAAAAAATTCTGCTTACTACTTTTTAAAATTTATTGTTTTGTCTGTGGATTTCTTCAAGATCAATGTAGTACCGTTACCTTCCGTCGAGGCGCCACATGTTTCGTGGCTGGAATTATACAGAGATGAGTGGGGAGATGCACAACGCTCCGGTCTTAGGCGATACCAAAAGCATGGCGCTAAATCGTGGCGGCGAGTCCGAGAGTAGGATTTCGTGATCATCGCCTCTGTCGATGTTACAGATTTCGCGTAGCCGCGCGGGTCATGATCATCGTTCCAGCCGATATTGCATACAGCGCTTCTGCTGCCCTCTCCTGGTGAGAATGGCTACTAGTTGTGAAGCGTGAAAACCAAATGAAAAGGTAGTTTAATAAACGTTGATTGACAATACACCGATACAGCCAAGTCTGAGTCCTTTCCAACTTATGATGCCCAGTTCATGTCAAATCAAGATCATTACATGTGTCTACAATATTGACCGCCGACTTCAGCTCAAATTGAGTTCACAGTTTGTGCATATCTTGTCGCCTTCCGTCTTTATTCTTTATATTAACTGTAATCAAACTTGAAATTGAATACAAAATATGGGCGATGAACAGCGTGGAATTGGACTGAGTATTCAGAAGGTAGTAATCATTACTGTTCCGAAGATAATTATTGCTGGGTTCTTCAGTGACGAATATGATGCTGCAAAGTGGGACTCATTTCTGGGATTCACTGCTAATCGTATTAGTCATCATGGCTGTTCTTTTTTCTCCGTGTACGCAATTTTATCATTCGATATAGCCAAGAATCCACGTGTTATTGATTTATATAATTTGCCAGCTGTGCTCACCGACAGCACAACAAACTATCAAACTTTTATTAATTTTCTGTATGATTATTTATAACATTGATTGCTTATCTTCAAATATTCGTTTGCACTGTAACAACTAATTTTACTATAGGCCCCCCCGTCCTGACTCGAGAACACCACAGGTCTTGAGCATTGTTGTTGCGCATATTGTTGACTATTGTTAATTGCGTGTATTTGGAGTTTTAGGATTACTGTATTTAGCTTAAGATCCTTTTTCTCCACTCTTCCCTCCCTTTCAGTTCGAAAGGGAAATTTGAATGAAAATGTTATAATTCAGTTATTAGATTAGGTTAGGTTATGGGATTGTATTTTAGTTATGAAAAACGATCTTGTAGTGCTGTGATGGATTCGTCTAGGTGTAGATTAGGTCAGGTCAGGTTAGGTCGGAAGTCTATTGCTTTGATCAAATGCCCCTTTCGAGCAAACGTCTTTCGATCAAAAGTTTTCGAAAAAGTGCTTTCGATAAACTGTCCGTAAACCAATTAAAAGACCACGGAGGTCACTTACATTGTTGTAATATTTAGACAATTTTCTCCCATAGGTACATATAAGAACGCCGCAAGGTAAACAGAGTTGAAATAACAACTAAGTCAACAGACTCGAAAGTCCCAGTGACGTGAGTTGAAACCATTTTAAGATTATCAGCTAAGTTTGCATATTGGATATCATTACGCAACAACAATTTTGAACCACTTTCCCTGGTAACGAATTGACAAATGCGCGTGATAAGAAGCTATAAAAACAAAACGACTCTTGACGTACGTGGTACGTCTTTTCGGCACACGTGGTTAAAGATCTCGTAATTACCAGCACATACGTATAATCGATGACTGATTGCGTAACGATTAATCAAGTATCAATCCAATCCAGGTCTTGACGAAAGTGTCGGAAGAGTCTGTATAAAATTTGAATCGATCCTGTGAGAAAATTCAGAAAAAGTCGGCCGTAAGTCTGTCTCAAGTCTGGCTGAAGTCGCTCCGCTGGGACTACTATCCCATACTAATTATAAGGCAAAATAATCTGTGAAAGTCTCACCCAGACTTGTTCCAGACTAGATCACCTCCAGACAGCTGGAGACTTCGGAGACACCTGTACTCAGCAACTCCTGTGGGACCTATTCTAAACATGTTCCATACCACTGCCAGACAAGTAAGTCTTACTTGGCCTCACGCCGAAAACTAAAAACACTTCGTGCTTTGATTTCGATATTTTAACTATGATTTATTAAAATTATCCATAACTAATCTTACCAATTGCAAGAACAATTGATATTGCGCTGGTTATTTTTTCAACGACTATTCTGTAACCATTCGTGCCATTTCTTGCTGTTCATTTATATTTGCACTTATTTGGTTATGTGGTATTGAACAATGAAAAAACATCGCGAACCTTAACTAGTCGTATAAATTTATTCTAAGAAATGAAATCAAAATATATTCATGTACAAACACACACGCGCTTAGTCACAAAACTGTTATGCAGAGCTACTTGTGGGCTCACTAAGGATTTCCTCTAATCGATTTTTTTAAACGAGTCTTTGTGGATCGACTTTATTTACCTCTGTTAACATGTGTATCGTCACCTGTATTACGAAACTAAAGATTTTTCACGTGAATACGTTATATCGTGATACCTCATACAACGCAAGATATATAAGGGGACTGAAATCCCGCGAAATCAGTAACGTTCCGAAAATGATGAGTTTGACATCAAGTCGGTTGACAGTGCCGATTTTCGCTATCATAGTCGGAGTCATCGTCCAGGCGGACACTGAGCTCGCATGGTGGCGAACAACAACTCTGTACGAGATCTGGCCACGATCATTTAAGGACAGCAATGGAGACGGAATTGGCGATTTGAATGGTAGAAACGACATTACCAATCTATTACGCTTATTCACTATCGAATTTCTGCTTCCTCTTATTTTTCAATTGAACCCCACAAATAATGTAATTTAGTCTATATGAAGATATGCAAATTTTTTTATTATTGCTTCCTCATAGAGGAAGCTATGTTTTCATGAAAGATTTTTTTTTCGAGATTTTCATGTTAGAATACAATAGAATAGAATAGATTTTCATGTTAACATGGTCTAAAACGTCAAGAAAAGTGGTTTAGAAAAAATGTCCGTATGTATGTATGTATGTATGTGTGTGTGTGTGCGTGAGCAGGGCTTCGAAAATTCAATTGCCTCTTACTCAGTACCCGTTAGAACGATCGGACTGAAATTTGGCACGCAAGTAAAGTAGATATCCCTCTTTAAATGTTGCGATTTTTAATGAAATATATATGCAGCCATTCAGATTTTGTCATTTAAAATTTTTTGAAAAAAGGGCGTGGTCGCTCTAACTTTCGTAAAGGTTCGACGATTTAGCTAAATAGTTCATCATAACTGAAGATACGTTCAAGGTTGTTTGGTATTGAATTTCGACACAATCGCTAAAGCGGTTCAGATTTTACGTGGTTTTGAAATTTTCAAAAAATTATCGTTATTGTTTTATTTACCTCATTTTTAATTTTTCATTCCTGTAAGTACCAAAGTTCAATTGCACATAACTCGCGAAAATAAATCAAAGAACTTCCTCATAGTGGAGGGCTTTGTGAACGAAGGAAAAGAATTAAGAAGCAAAGTGTAAGATTCTACTTTGCATCATTGTGATAGAAAAAAAACCAAGTAAAATAATGAGGAAGCAATTTGCAAGGTTCTACTTTGCACCCTTGTTTTGTAATCAAAATAAAACAGGCTGTGTTATTATACGACTCTTTCGGTACAGAGTTTTTGTAATTTATTACGTAAAAAAAAATTTGATCCAAACATTAGCCTCTTGAAAATTATTTATTTATATTATTATTTTACGTCAAAATTTATAATCGTATCTATAAAAAAAAACATTGTGATGCAATACCACTCTGATGTTAATTAGTATAAACGTTACCAGGCATCAAAAGCAAATTGGACTACCTAAGCGAGCTGGGCATAGGGGCGATATGGATTGCTCCCTGTTTCTCCAGTCCACAAATTGACACTGGCTATGATGTCTCCAACTACACAGACATAGATCCATTGTATGGGACTCTGGAGGATATGGATACGTTAATCGCTCGCGCTGCGGAACTTGGAATCAAAGTGATCTTAGACTACGTTCCCAACCATACGAGTACGGAACACGAGTGGTTTAAGTTATCCGAAGCCAGTGTCGCCCCCTATACCGATTATTACGTGTGGCACGAGGGAATTCTGGATGCAAACGGTACCAGAAGACCACCGAACAATTGGCTGGGCCGCTTCAACAGCGGAAGTGCTTGGGAATGGAGCGACAAGCGACAAGCTTATTATTTTCATCAATTTAACAAGGAACAGCCAGACTTGGACTTCAGGAACGAGGCGGTCGTCCAGGAATCATTGGTGAGTCAGGATTACTTGTGAATAACGAAATATATTGTTCCGTCTCGGCCCCCCTCCCTATCAATCTCCTTAACAAATTTCGCGTATTTCAGAGAGCGATCGTATAGATATATTTACATTTTTTTTTGGCCTCAAGGATATACTTACGTTTTGGATGGATCGCGGTGTCGCCGGTTTCCGTATCGATGCGTTGCCATATTTATTTGAGGATCCTCAATTCAGAGATGAACCCCTATCGGGACTAGACAAATATGCTCCGCATGAATATTTCTATCTAGATCATATCTATACCAAAGATTTTATGGAGATTTACGACCTGGTCGCAAGATGGAGAAAACACTTTGATGAATATACTGCTGAACACCCTGGACCTGAACGGGTCATGTTCACCGAGTCATATGCCAACATATCCATGATCAGCTTATTCTACGACTACGGTGCTCATTTACCATTCAATTTCTTCCTGATCGGAAATAGGACTACGTCCTATTCGCTCGAAACCCAAACAGCCACAGGTCTTAAGAATATTATTGATGAGTGGATGGAGTATACGCCTGCGGGTCAGACTCCCAACTGGGTGGTAAGTTTGAAATAGATTTTTGTGCTGTATGTGGTATAATTTTAATTTATTATGTCAAAATTGAAATTGCCAGCTCGATTATCCATTCTCAGATTGGCAATCATGACAGGAGTCGCGTGGCCTCGCGTTTCGGTAGCGAAAAGGTAGACACCTTTAACATCCTGCTGCTTTTGTTGCCTGGAGTTCCGACCATTTACAATGGCGAAGAGATTGGCATGGTTAATACATTCTTAACTTGGGAAGAATCGGAAGACCCTCAGGCCTGCAACACTGACCCGACTCGTTATACGGCAACTACTAGGGATCCTCAGCGTACGCCTTTCCAATGGGATAATACTACGTCGGCAGGTCAGTTATCAATTGGAGGTTAGGTTATATTATATTTCAGTGAAATATACTGCAATGTTATTTTTACTTTGTTAGGATTCTCCACAAACACCTCGGTGTACTTGAAAGTGAACGAGAATTATCGTACACTGAATTTAGCGGCGCAAAAGGAGGCTGATAAGAGTCACTATAAGAACTTCCAGGCAGCCATGAGGCTCAGGAACACGACGGTGGCCAAAGATGGAGCCCTGAAGACACTCGTTATCGGCGAGGATGTCTTCGCCATGTCCAGAGAATTGGATGGTCACGACCCCCTACTCGTTGTTATTAACTGGTCGAAGTCTCCGGTAACAGTCAGTCTTGATGACTTCAGTAACTTCAGTGAGAAGCTGCAAGTGCTTGTGTCGGATGTTAATAATGATCTCAAAGTTGGGTGAGTGATTAGGAGATTCAAAATGCTGTCATTCCTTTGTCGGCTGAACAATGCCTTCATTAAATTATTTAAATTTTTTCTTCCAGAGACACTATATCCAGGAGCAGCATTACCCTGCAGGGTGATGCAGCTTTGATATTAACATCATCTGACGTCACTTGCTCCGACTACTCGGACGTCTCAGAAGTTGCCTGTCTAATACCATCCTTGAAATCCTTCTTCAACGTGTAAATCAAGTTGAAATTTCATATGGAAATTTAATAAACGTTCTTTAACAATGTGTTCAAAAATTGTATTCACAGTAGCTAACATTTAACTACCTATTTTCACAGATGTCAGATTCTACCTAAATGCAATAACACAGTTTTATGATTATACACGGTGACTTATAAAGTATTTATACCTGTGCAGAAAAAACCAAGTTCCACTAGCTAAAACCTGCACCAAAAAGCACACTGAGCGAGTGGAATTATTGGTGATTTTATGATCGGATTGTAATTTCCTACCTCGACGCAATGAAAAATAGTGCGTGTCCAACTGAATTCTCTACTACAACTGTTGGATCGTTGTAAAAATAACGGTTCAATTTTATTGAAATGTGCTTCGAAGTATGCGCCATGATAGAAGTTAGTCGATGACGACCAAGCAAAACTTGCGGACACGGCCTACACTGCCTGATGGATCTGTTCCAGTGATTCAAATGTGCATTTGGTAGTACAGAATATAACGGTGGTCTAGAGCGTGGTCTAGAGCGCTTTACCGAGGATTATAGCAACATATCCGTAATCACTTTACTCTATCATTATGGTGCTCACATCCCATTCAACTTCTTCCTTATCAGAAAGACCGGTATCACCTTTAGGGCT